ATTTCCCAGGATGGTATAAAACCAGACCCTGCAAAGGTCAGAGCCATAAGTGAAATGCCACTACCAGAAGATAAAACTAGAGTCAAAAAGACTACTTGGGAAGGTACATTTCCTGAGCCCATTCATCCCGAATATGTCTACCATAACAAGCCCACTGAGATACTGCTAAAGAAAGATGTGCCAAGACATTGGTACCCTGAAAACACAGAAGCAGTGAACAAACTAAGAGAATTAATATTGAGCCAAAATCCTGTACTGAAACTGTTTGACTCAAAGAAGCCAGGGACAATCAAGTGCGATTCTTCAACAAAGGGACTAGGGGCATGCTTGCTCCAGGACAACCAACCGATCGCATATTCATCAAGATCTTTGACAGAGACAGAAGTAAGCTATGCAAACATTGAGCGTGAGCTCCTAGCGATAGTGTTTGCTGCAGAACAATTCCACCAATTCATTTTTGGAAGAGAAGTACTGGTGATCAGTGATTACAAACCATTAGAGGGAGGACTTCCGTAAGAAGCGACCACTATGAGACAGAGCAGAATTGAGGGCTAGGGGTAAATCTAGCGTAGGGTTAGGGTTTGGGTTTGGGTTAGGCCTCTTCTTTATTGTGTGTGATGGAGTGGTCGCTCGTTACAGAAGTCCTTCCCTATTAGAGACGATCTTGAGAAAACCATTGCACCAAGCTTCGCCAAGAATCCCAACTGATGATCTTACGACTACTCCGATTACAAACTGGATGTTCAGTACAAACCCGGATCTCAGCTATACATTGCTGACACCAGGGGCGAAGGCTGACTTGTTTGACAGGGTAATCAAAGTGAAATGGGACCAGATATGGCCTGTAGATATCACACAAGAATCTTACTCGAGGCGGCGACTCTGAGTTGTGAATGAAAACAAATCCGGAATTCATATTGTATGTTCAACCGCCAAAATAATCGGGAAAGTATCTTATTAAATATCAGTTCCCACTAAAATTAAACTTAACTTTAGATGTGAATACATAAACAAAGCAAAGAAGCAGAGATGTCAGTACTAGATCTATATGTTATAGATCTACCAGTGAGTCTAACTCTTTGGTAGAACATGACAATTATTATTTTTTAAATTTCACATTTGGCTGTTTTTGTTAGCCTTTCGCGGCCAGGAGCTGGTGTCATAATCGAGGTCACGATCTGATTATAGGACGGTAAAAAGTCGAGGAAAAAAAACAAGCACAAGCAGCAGTCAAGAGATTATTAAGAGTTAGTTCCCCTCACATTTGTGAGGTAGACTCGACCAGTGTTAGTTAGCTTACTTAATCAGGGCTTGTGATTGATTTTAACTGTGGCCCCAAAGGGGTGAACAGGGTATATGTGGCAAGGAAACAGCTTTGACTGCCATGCACATGTTCCCTTCAACTCTATTCCAGCCTCACTTTAAGCTTACTTAATCAAAGCTTGCGACTGCGTATGGAGTGGTCCGAGAGGGGTGAGGAGGCTATTTCTGTGGCCGTGAAACCGTTTTGAATGTTAGGCATACTGTTCGTTGTTGGTTACGAACGTCTTTTTACATTTAATTTATGAGGTTTACGTTTAAGGATGAATTTGACAGCGACAATGTTTCAAAATTAGAAAGGGAAGCAGTGATTATTTGATTATATAGACGCTTCGCCCCTGGCTGACACATTGAGAAGAGCCTCACCACCATTAACACATCAAGAGAGACACGAAATTCCCCTGGAGGAAATACTGAGAGTACACTGTACGACAGCCACAATGCCTGCCATAACAGAGAAACTCAAAGAAATCCAAAAAGAAACCAAGTCTGACAAGATACTGAAAGATGTCTTACAATGGGTGAAAAATGACTCATGGCCTCAACAGAAAAATATGTCAATGACAGAAAGACACAACTACAAACTCAGACATGACATGCATGAGGAAAATGGAATTTTGTTCTTCAATAACAGAATGGTCATACCTGAAACCATGAGGGAAGAAATATTAACCAAACTGCACACAAGTCACCTTGGCATCGATAAAAGTAAGGCCAGAGCCAGAGAGAGCATCTATTGGCTAAGAATATGTACTGACATTGAAGAAAAGACGAAGAAATGTGATATATGCGCTAGCAATCAACCACGAAATGGTAAGGAATCGATGATTCCTCACAATCTGCCATCTATCCCTTGGGTCAAACTAGGAGCAGACATTTTTTAATTTAAGGGAAAATCATACCTTCTTGTGGTGGATTATTATTCAAAGTATCCTGAAGTAGCATACGTGAACAACAAAACAGCACAGTCGGTGATCAGGTCCTTAAAACCAAATTTTGGAAGAAATGGGATACCACAAGTACTCTTCGCTGACAACATGCCTTTCTCCAGCTACAAGATGAAAGAATTTGCAACAAGCTGGAACTTCGAAATCAAAACATCAAGTCCGAGGTATCCGCAGTCAAATGGCCAAAGTGAACGTTTCGTCAACATTGTCAAAACACTGTTCAGGAAATGTACAGAGGAAGGATCTGATCTTAACATAGCTCTAGTCGGATACAGAAACACTCCCATCACAGGTTTGCCGTACTCTCCAGCCCAGCTGCTCATGGGCAGAAAATTGAAAGATCTAGTCCCAACGGATCCCAAGATTTTAAAACCACAGTTACCTGTTCATGCTCCAAACCTGCTTCAGCAAAGAAAAATAGAGCAGAAGAAACACTACGACCGACACACAAAGAGTCATCCAGAACCTGACGTGGGAGACAGCGTGCGAGTGCACACAGGAAGATCCAATAATTGGGAAAAGAGAGTCGTCACCAGTATGAGCCAAGCACCCCGATCTTACTACTAGACCTGCATGTGAGCCTCAACCAGATTGTCTGAAAATTTTTCGCACCCACCACCCCCCACCCCCTGTAA